TTCATTCTTGGAATATAGACTAATACTTATACGTATTGCGAATTTTCGAGGCATTTCTCATGAATTCCCAGCCATGATAGTATATTATAAAAGAAATGAATTATTGATTTTTACCATTGAACGACGTAAAGTTTTATCAAGATATATGTAAGTTCAATTCCAATTCTATTTCCATTGTATTCGTAATACATGAACTATAAAACACTGATCAGCATTCTGTCCCTATGCAGCCATTCAATAAACTATATTACTGCGCTATCCTAGCAAATAACACCATTACTTTGTTATTGAAATATATTTCATCGCATGATTGGCTTCCCCATGCAGGAGGTCGATATATAAATACTATTCTACGATGATAGGCTGTGAGAAAGGTATACAAAATGTTAAAAAGTGGACCATTAGTTTAGCCGAATTATTGAAAAAAAATTTAACATCATTTGTTGTAATATACACATAATTGAAATATAAATTTACAGCTTCCATAAAATTTTATAAGTATTTTTTTTTGTAAATTAATCGCCTGTTGGTGCCTGGAAGTATCCTTTATGTTGATTGTTGGTCTATTTAGAACTCGTACTGTAGTTTTTGATATTCCCAGAGTACGTTTCGCATCAATATAAGGAGTTAATGAAGCTTCTAGTGTTGAGGCACCCTTATCAGAGGTATTTGGATCTATCAGTGGTGGTTACTTGACTGTCTGGTTGAATATTGATTCACCTGCTCCTATAGGTCTTCTTATCATTTCTTCTTACAGACTGCAATATTGCATGCATCTCTGCTTCGACAATAGAAATAAATAGCTATATAGTATCATCAAAGATACCAGTACCAGTACCCCACTCGATCATTGACCCTTTTATTACTACATGTTCCATTTTCATGTCTCTGATCCATGATTATCACCACAAAATTATTGGTGAAATTATTTATTATCATTTAAATTTTTAATTCTTTAATATCCCATGTCTGCTCATCTGTATGCCTACTAGTACGTATGTTTTGTCTACTTCAGCAGTAGATATCCGTTGTTGTATCTTATTTCACCACACAAAAGATCATATTTTGGTTTCAGTCTTCATATTTTTCTTATCACTAATAGATTACTCTTGGAATGACCTACTTTTCAAATGAATAATCATAGTAATTCATATTGAAAAACTGTCAAATTGTAATATTAATTATCATCTGCCATATTCTCTTACGGAAGCTCCTACGGATTATCACGATCGCGTCAATCGCTAGCTGGAAAATTGGCAAGCAAACAAAATTTATGTCGATTTGGATGAATTGGTGACTAATGTCAAAGGGTATATTGCTTCCAAAAATCGTGACTTCTTCGCTCGTGGAATCGATTTTCTATGAAGCAAATTGAAGCAGTTATTGAAGTAGAAGGTAAATGTGCTCCAGATTAATTATTTATATATGACCATTATTTTAGGTATATCAAGTTTTTGTTGAACAAAACTATTTAAAAAAGTGTCGATTATTAATATTATTATGCACCAACCCAATATAAAGGATGTCACCCTTGTTTATATGAAAAAAATTACTATTCCTAAAAAGTTAAAGTATTTACTGCATTTACAATGTTGCTCTTTATTCTCAGTTATTGTCGAACAAATAATGTGAAATGATTTAATATGGTTTGATTTAAATAATTGATAGTTTTGTCCATTTAACCTGTTTAGTAATATAGCCATTACAAAAATTACCTATTTTACTTCAAACCAAATATTAATTTTGAATTCATTTTGATGATTACCATAAATTGCATCTACTTGCGAAATATTTGAAACCTTTCAAGACACTGTGTTATATTAACTAATAAGAAATGTCAGAGAAAAGCATCGAAGTTACTTGCAGCCATCCACTATTACGATATGATATAGACAATGCTGTTTGTAATAGAATTCGTCTGCTTATTAATTCTTACTGTATGGTTTAGCGAATACATAAAGTGTTGAAGTAGTACATGAAACATTATTATTGCACATTAATGTTCCTTACCTAGTGAATATTTCAGTTAGCAACACTTTTAACCTAACTATTAAACGTTTACTGTTTCTAAGAGTTTAAGTGCCTATATATTGCATTCTTGTGGAGATACTTTATATCCCTAACATTTTAATCGACTTTATAGTCAATTTACCGCTCTTTTTATGATGCTGCTGCTATTTTATTGGCCAATATTATTTGTTAAGGGTTACACCCAACGGGTCCTTTTACTACTGCCAGTATACATTTACTATACAAAATAAGTTTAAACTAAGGTACTTACTTGCTTATTTTACCTCTGGGTAGAAATTTGGTAAGTGGAAGCAATGAGCAAATAAAAAATTTGATAGTTGTTTACTTTAATCTTGCAAAGAGCTTCTTGTCGATTCAAGATAAAATGAAATTTGAAAATGTATTTTTTTTTATTTTTTATTTGAGTAAAACTCACTCATTTCTGATGCAATAGTTTCACTCAGTTGTACTCATAGTAATAGAGTGAAAACTTCTCACTCACTCACTCAATCGGTTGTGAACAGAAATTGATACATTATTGAGTAAAATTGAGTGAAATTGGAGTGAAATTTTTTTAGTGTAGTGGTTAAGAAAAACTTTCTCGAACGTTACTTATATATGTCAATATGACAAAAGAATGGGAATGTAAAATTCAAATAGATCAAGAATCAAAATTTTATTCGACTGTGATTTTGGTCATATATACATCTATTAAAGAAAAATAAAACTAAAATAAGAAGCAATACAATTAACAGGATTTTCAGCCTCTGTTAAAGCAAAAGTCGATGGATTTTGACTACGCTAATAGATCACCTTTAAATGTATACTCTAGGTTATCTATTAAATGAGGTAATACGAGTTTACTAGCATCTAAAGATCCTATAATAGAACTCTAATATTAAAATGAATATGGAGCTGAAAGCATATTAAAGATAACAAACGTTAATTTAATATTTCATCAAGAACAAAAATGGAGCTGGACTGTGAATCAGTATCTCAAAATAGCTCACTGAATCCGAATATAAAGTCAAAACAGCGGGGTCCACAGCTCAGTCCATTTTTTGTGTTATTATTTTAAACATTAAATGGATGTGAACGGAATGGAAAGTAAATAAATATTTGCTCCAATAAATACATATGTTATAAACATTGCCTATTAATGTAGAGTAAGGTTAATAATGAGACGCAACTGTAGAATACAAGTCACCTAAGAAAATTGGCGCGGGAGTGGTTGAAGTTACACGTTTTCTAACAATTAAAGGCGAAGATGTCGTAGAGACTATCTTAATATGATCCAGAGTCAATCCCTGGTGATCTGTCAAGACAAAGGATGAAGGAGTTGTTGGAGCAGATAGGCCATGGTTCCCGTTGTTGGTAATTTCAGGAAAAATAACCCTTCTTTCCAGATTGTTGGAATATTTCTCGAGATATGGCGAAACAGTGCTTGGAATGTAACTGCCAATGCTGTAGTCTCTTGCATTGGATGTGTATATTTCGACATTCGGAAAAGATTGCCTCTGTAAAAAATATGATGTTATACTTTCACGAAATATACAGGTGTTCTATGATGATTTCTATTCTGGACGAATACGAAATGACTGATAAAAAAAGGCTTCAGTAAAAATGTGTGAATGTACACGGGATCTAAAGCTTTTAAACTATTTGTTTGTTGAAAACATCAGGAACACGTTTTTCAGTATAATGATAAACCTTTTTTAAGTAGTTTTCCAATAAATAATCATTTTTCATCTTTTTATTTATTTTTTTTAAGGCATCATTTATTACTGTCAATGTTACACTTCATATTTCAAACAACAACTAACCTGCAACTCCCTATTCTCAGCAGCGTTTAGATAAGCAGGACTGGGAGTAACTACTATGCTTCCATGGCCGTTAAAATTCCGGGATATCTGTGTTGGGACCACAGCTTGTAACAGCACTATATCATGGTTCGGCGACTGAACATCATTTTCATAGTCTAGAGATTTTTCCTTTTCCACTGGATACAACTCTCGTACAGGTATTCTTTGAATCTGTACGCTTTGATCTGAAAAAAGAGTTTACTGTAATTACGTACTAATATTTATTTGGTGTATAATAAAGGCGAATAATATAAGTACTCTCAAAATACATATTTTTTAGAATATTAGGTATTCTATTATTAAAAGAGCCCGAGTATGTATTCGTGAATGTGATACACATATTGGACATTTAGTTTAATTTAACTGAATTTGTCTTTTTTTACTATCTGTTGTTATTTGAGTCGTTTTGTTTATTTCAATTTACTGAATAAAATGGAATTGACCATTGACTTAGCGATATTTAATTTGTACCAAACCTAGCACATACAAAAAAGATGTAATATCTCGTAAACCGAGCCCCAAATCAAAATCCTATTAAAATGAAAAAAAAAAAAAAAATAGAATAAAAGAGCGCTCTAACTAAAAAAATTTAATAGAAATAGGATAGGAATTTAATAGGAAAAAAAATAGAGAGTCCATGGATACTACAACCCCCCTCACCCCCGTTCGTGCTTTGATATTTAAAACCAAAATTACGCAGAAAGTGTACCGTTTAAAATTTTGATTTTCCCATTAATTCAGTCCAAAGAATATGTGGTTAACGGCTTGACCTACTAATTTCTAACACCCCATATAATATCGTCAAATATTTATACTTATAATTTATTATAAAAAAAACACCATATACACACCTAATCTATGCTTTTCTGGCAGACATTGAGACGTTTATAAATATTCGTCGATACAGGGTGTCCCGTGACTCGATGGCCATTGCTTAAGGTCGTATTGCTTGGACAATTTTAAGTCGAAAATGCCTTATACACTTTGTCAAAAACTCAATAGTTAAGGAGTTATGGGCAATATTAAATTTAACAGTAAATCTTATAAATTTGGTAAAGTAAGGAGTATGTTAAATAAATTAATGTAATGGTTTATTAATTACGAATTTCTTTATTGCTAACAGAAATTTTAGTAATAAATTGAAGACGTAGACCTCTGATGAGTATCTGGGTCATCTTGGATGAATGCAGCTGCAGCCATAATATTTTGAATTAACTCATCTCTGGTTTGTGGTTTATTTGACACTAGACCTTTCATGTGTCCCGAGAGATAATAGTCAAGAGGCGTTAGGTCTGGCGACCACGAAGACCAGAGAACTGGACCTCCTCTTCCAATCCACCGGTTAGCAAAGTTGTGGTGAAGCCACACGTTAACTCTATTCTGAAGTGGAACATCCTCCATTAATCCTGGCAACATATTTTATAAAAAAAATTCCCCTAACTGTGTCAGCAGCTTCAAGTATATGGTTTCGCAATTCTTCCACCGTAGCAATTGGACTATTGTAAACCAATAACTTCAAGTGAATCTAAAGACAAAAGTCCATTGGGTAACCGAGGTGACCACGGCACAGGACCAAAGCGTCCAATCCATCGCTGAGGAAACGTTTCATTCAAAAGTGTCATTACTTCTCGAGTACTTTGAGGAGAAGCCCCATCGCCTATTATGCCAGCCCAAACATTTACCGAGAACCGATGTTGAAAATGAGTTTCCCTAATCGCGTGAGGATTTTCATCTGCCTATATGTGCATATTATGGAAATTCACTTCATCACTTGTAAATGTCGCCTCATCTGTTACACAAACATAAGCAGGAAAGTCTACTTGATTGGCACATTGCCGTAAAAAACATCTGCAAAAACGCATTCGTTGATCACAATCCGGGGGTAAAATCTGTTGAACTAGTTGCAGATGATAGGGCTGTGTGAGTCGTCAAGTACTAATTGTGGGGTCTTCGTCAAGATTTTCCAACACTGCATCTTCAATATTAAGGCTCACTTGCTGACCACGTCCTTCTCCTCGAGGAATAACACTTCCTGTATCTCGCAGCCGCTGAGCGCACTGTACGATTGTATTTGCACATGAGGGGTGACGTTGTGGCCATCGTTCCCGGTACAACCTAGTCGCCGTGAGCGCATTTTCTCTGGCTGCACCATACACTAACACCATATCGACACGTTCGGAAATAGTAAATGCATTGTTTTCTCGGTTCATTGTNAGAATTTATTTCAATAAGAGGCAGCACACAGCACGGACACGTCCTAACTCTCGCGTTACTGTATTTACTTAAAATATATGTTAAAATGACGATATGTGTTTAAAATTTTTTCTGCAATTCTATGTTAACATTATATACTCTACTAATTTTCATGATGAAACCTAAGTTTTTAATTCTTTTCTAACGTTAAAATCAACGTGATATTCAAGCCTGTTTACTATCTACAATCACGCACAAATCTTTGGCATGTTGTACAATCGGCAGTTTGTTTGTAGGTATATTTGTTTACAAAGAGAATATTACAAGTATTAGATTATACCGACTTAAATTATAAGGTTGTATCTCGAGTCGCATAAAAACATTTCCAAAGTTTTAAATAAATAACACAGGGTCGAGCTTCATTTTCGTTGAATAAATTAACTTTAATTTACAAAAAAAACGCGAAGATAGAACTTTAGTTTAATTTTTATAGATTATACACGCCGCACCCTGTATATACGTTTATATTAACACCAACGTATTATTTGGATAATTTTGTGATATTAAATTTTCAATGTCCATTTCAAAGCTCCGAACATTCCGTTAACGCGGTATGTTGTCAATAAAAAGCGCCACGCATCGATTTATTTAATTTTTGTGCCATACAAAAACTTATCCGACAGAAAGCTTTCACCAACCTTGATGCGGCATACCACGTTGATCTGCAACTCCCTCATTTTCGGTATATTTGACGTCTGCCTTATAGCCGTTTTTGTCCGCCGTATATGACACTATCTGAACCCTCCCGTCTGGCAGTTTGACACGATATTCCCCGTTCGTAGCCTTGGAATTTCTGGTTTGGGAGTGAGAGAAGTCGTCGCCCCTTAAATGATCCACCACTTTGTAGGAGAAAGCGTAGTCCTTCCCCTGTTGCTGTAACACAAAACGTAAATAGAGACGAATGAAAATGCGCGAGATTTGCATAACGAGCGTGACGATAGTGATGAAAGACCCCAGACATTTTCTTGGCTTTGAATGGTAATATGTTAACCCTATCGTTCTGGCTTTTAAATTATTGTTTGTTGTCCCTCCTTCCTTATGGCGATTCGGAATTACTGTTGCAATTCAAAAGAATCAATCGACAAAATTTCTCGGTTATTTTAAAAATCGCGTCTCATTATTCGAGTGTATACAAGTTGATCCGTATTTGTGTGTCGCAAAGCATGCTACGATGATACGCACGAAGAGTCATTAATTTTTTTATTAGTGTTTTAGTCATTTGGGCCTACCCGGAGATAATATGATCCTACGAAGTTCTAAAAAGAAATTTGCAATTTCCCAATAATTTCTGAGTTATATCCGTACAATTTTTTTTTGTTGAGAGAATTCCAAGAAAAGAATAAGCCATTAAAGTTCTGTTATCGGAACTACTTAACAATTTACTGCGGCAGAGGTGTGCCGCATAATTTTCAGAATATTATAATATATACTATGTCTCACTAAGTTGGAACCATATGGAAAACTTTTTTATTATAAATTTTAAGAAAAAAGTTATTCTTCATAAAAAGTTCTGCATGTTCTGAAATCTAAAATACGATCATCAGATATTAAATTTTTTCAGTCTTATACGCGGTTTGTCAAAAAATATGAATTTTAATCAAGACTAATGAACCTTTATATTTGACAATATCGAAAAATAATATTCGCGCGACTTAATAATTCTTATTAGTACTCAATGAAACGTGGTAGGCTTTGTTATACCCACTGGCTGCTATGGTACGTTGTTTATTATCACTTATTTAATAAATAGTTTTATCTGAATTTGGTAAAGATACAAGAAAATAATACTGTTCCTGTGGTTGTTTTTGAAGAAGCTCAAGAAGCAATTTTCCATTTATTGCCAGCGAAATCCAGGGAATATTACGAAAAAGTGTTGGCCGAATGGGAAAAATGGAGAGTAATGACAATAAACGAAGAAGTCACGCTATCGTATTTTTTAAATTTGAAGAAAAAATATGCAATTTCATCTATGTAACTGTACTCCACAAGCTGTAACCACCAACGGAATTCTCTTCCTTCTTTCTGTATATGGAGCTTCAAAAAAAATTACCGGCTTAGGATAAGTTTCGATACATATCTTTTGTAAAAAATACTCGTAACAATAAACGAGTGCAATTAGCTTGTCTTCCCCCAACCTTTGCTTCTGCTCATCAACATCTATTTCGTGTATGTTATCAAGGTCAAGTGTGGCTTGGTAATCAACTGAACCCAGAAGACTGGGGTTGGAAAAACTCATCAATACAATTTTTTGCAATTAGTGCAGCTCACAGTGGTTGGAAATCCGAAAAAGCTGGATAAAAGTCCAAAAAGACTTGCATCATCACCAAAAGTGGGGACTTTATGTTTTTAGGTCGCTAAAGCCGAATTTGCAGTCAAAAATCTCAAATTCAACATGGCTGATACAAAATGGCATAAATCACGTTAATTTATTGAATCTAATTGAAATTTCTAGTGCCTCTGGTATTGAGGTCGCGTAAAACGTATGTAAGATCGAAGTTTGAGGTTTTTGAGGTAATTAATTATTATTAATAAAGTACGAAATGTAAATATCTGCGATATAAGGCATGTATTTGGAATGAATTCGTAATTTCGAACGAAATAATTTCTAAATACTATTGCAGCTTATTCTTGTTATAAAGCTTATTCTAATTATTTTATTATCGATAGCTTCGGTTGAAAAGCTTTTCTCATTTTCATCTATATTGCACCTTTTTAAAAAAGGTTGATCTAAAATGATGGTTTGCGTTTCTAAATTCTCTGAATTTTCCTTTGAAAAATCGAAAAATTTATTTTTTCATTCACGTAATTTCACTGGTCCCTGATCCTGTCGAAAATGATAAATTATGAATTAAAAGATCATAGATAATAAGTTCATCTATAATTTTCTTTTTCCTTTTTTTTTTGATACCCATATCATGGGGGTGCACAAAAAAAACTGGTCCGCCATCTTTGGGAGTCCGCCATATTGGATTTAAAATGACGTCACTTAGCTAACCATGCATTGTCATCCAAACTAAACGTGTATGCAAAATTTCAGCTCAATCGGTTGGGGAAACTGTTTTAAAATTCAGTTGCAAAATGTGACCCATACTAACAAGGCAACTTAAATAAAAGCTTGTAAAAATATGTGAAACGCTCGTTTGGAACGCGAAGAGACACTAAAACGCTAGCTATTGTATAACTAAGGCTTACAATAGTAAATCTGCCGTACATGGAGGCACAAAGAATGACTCAGAACCCCAATCCGGAAAAATCCGGTGGTTTTCTCTTTTGATATATGAAATTGACACTCCTGTCCGCATTTTCCTTTCCTTTCAATAGTGCAGGATCTCTTGGGATCACAACTATTTCGATAATTTACGATTGATGTGATTTGAAATCAATGGAAATTGCAAGACGTTTTTGTTAAAACATTAAAAACATGCAAATTTCGAAAAATGAGGTTCTAAATGAGCAAATGTATTCTACTTAACTCCAGGAACACCCTCTCTATTGCACACAACGACTCGTACTCTAGTAAAAATTTGCACGTATTTTCAATTCACCGCTTTTCGAGGGGTCAGTGGCAAGTGAAATATGCTAATGTGTCGCAGCATACTTCCGATAGTTGCTGTGGTCTATACACATGGGCCAGCTCTCTGTCACTTTAAAGAACTACGCAGTGACTCCTTCTCTAGCATATTCTGAAGTATTAACGCAAACCAACGATTTTGAAATTTTTGTCCAGCTTTTTCGGAATTCCGACCACTGTGCAGCTGCAAAAAAGTTGGATTGTTTTGTTCATTAGCATGTGTCAGTTGTCAAGGCCATTCGTGTTCCAATGATGAATCGTACTCAGAAAAGGATTCTTACGATATCAGCGAGGAGACATCTGATGCATCGCTGTTAGAACAATTTTCTTGTATCCTGTCTGTTTTTCAGTTCATAAACTATGTACTTTAGCTACGGGTTGATACATAGTTTATGTATATTTTATTTCATTGAATTTTGATACATAAATAAATATATATCGTTTCATTTGGTAACTTTAACATCTGTCATATTTATCACCACTGGGATGATGACGTTATTTGCGAAACGATGACTCTTTAGTAGCCTAGAAGGTAATGGACAATGCCTGCTACTGATAATAGTGTTAACTTAGTTTGTATTAGAATGTGAAACTGGTTTAATATTTTAAATTGAAACAACAGTTTTTTTTATTTAATTCCTTCAATACGCGTAAAACAGATTACCTGTAATCAGTAAATGTGTTTCCAAAGTTGGCTATTTTAAGCTTTAATTTAATACCATCGCATTGTCGAATCAGCCAATCCGGCATATTCTAAAAAGTATCACCTCTAACGTAATTTAGGTCGGTCATAATTTGATTTTAACATTACGCTTTTGTCATTGCGTGTAGAAAGGATGGGATAATCTACATAATGAATCCGATCGAATTAATTTATTGTGGATTGGGAACAGTAAATCGAACTGGAATGCTATATGTCTGCTACAACTCGACAGAAAACAATTCTCCGATGGAAATTTGTAAAACGGGGTGTTAAGAAAGACGTTGGAAATTTTAAAAGCAAAACATTAATAAAATTTGCTTAAATGTAATATTTTTAAAAAACTTTACCGTCTTACATCATTCTATATATCTGATATCTCTCTTGCTACATAAAGAAAGAATACCAGTTGAATGACATTTTAGTTATACTACCCATTAGTAACTGCCCGCTATGTTTCCATTTCAAAATTTTCTGGTAGATAATACTTGCATATAAACAAAAATAAAAAATGTGAGTCAAGTTCTCTGTCTATTACTTATTTAATTTTATAACAATATTTGAAAGCTGACAACCTACTATTTCGTTGACAAATTAAGTTTTTTTCTTTCTTTAATCTAAGTGTCTTTAAATTGATAATGGTCGAATCGACCACAAAGCCCGTTATAACAAGACAGACATTGATAATGTAAATCCATAAATATGAATAAGAAGAAATTTAAACAATATGACAATATTTCTTCATCTAGCAACCATGAAAAGTGATATTTTTTTGATTTTCTGTACTTTGTAATCTAAGAATAACCAGGACGTAGGTATATTATTACTTTATTTAAAATAAAATAAATTTATAACGTGTGTGTTGAAAACATATTTAATAGTAGTCAACTAATTAAGAAAATAATTGATTTATAGTTACCTGTGAGGAAGCTTTACGTTTAGCTAATTGTTCTGGTGGATATGAAAGAACCTCTGATGCATGTTTTGCTAAAGCTTTCCGGGCATGGTTACTGACATGCCTACCCTGTAATAAAGACAAATTTGGGAATAAATAGTATTAGGCAATACTAGAGCCATATTTTGTTTATTATTTATAGTATTTCTCTATCTATTCTTGTAAAAACATCAACAAAGGTGTTTTGTATACCTACATACTGTATATTGCATACATCAAATTAAATTTTTTACTGCGAAAGAATAGACATTTTTGTATGTACAAACGTAGTTCTATGAAAATTCATAGAATACATACGAATATAATGGAAGTTTTTTTCTAAAAAATTGAATAAATTTCATTTATGTTTGGACATCTTAGTCGAGGCTTCATTATAAAACATTATTATTATGAAAATTTTTGTACCTTTTTCATATTTTTCAATCTTTTAGATTAATTCAAATAAACATTGATGGAACACCTTATATATTTATATGACATGGAGATACAAAGGTTTGACACATCTGTCTTTAATAATAGGAAAGATATGACCAGAAAAATATATGCAAAAACAAACTTGTAGTTAGCGTAGTTATTATTATAATAGTCACATTTAGTTTGACCTAAATATCTGGTGTAAACCCTGAAAGTACCTGCTTGAAATTTCTCTTACACTTTTTAAACTGATTTGGCGTACGAGAATTTACAACACTGAAATGCTTCACATGGTACATAAATTTAAGAAACATTAAGATATGTAAAACGATTACTAGTCTGTCACGAAAATGTACGTACAAATATGAAACTAGTTTAAACTGCATAGATATAAACACATTATTGTCATACATGGTAATTGGTAATTGTTAATATCCTAGAAAAACTTTCCTATTTCATATTGAATATCTTGTGACCTAAATCTATACTTCACCTGAATAAATAAAATTAAGCGAATATGAAATTAATCCTTAGAAAAAAGATTTAAAGAATTTGATTAGAGAGATATATAGTAATATTCCTCTTATCATCAATTTAGATTTAAGTCTACAATTTACAGACAATTCTAGCTTTCTCTAAAGACATCCATCATATTTAAAAGTGAGATTTGAGTAAATTGAAAATTATATTAATAGAGTAACATTTAGTCAGGATCAGGCTTATCAATTTTTCAACATTAATTGGAAATTTAACTAAGACCATCTTTGAAATCATTTTTAGTGGCATTTTCGATAATCAAAATCGCTGCAACTATAAAACAAACCTTAACGTTAACACTAATCAAAATTGTTAAAACTTTTTAGAACCTCTGGAGTCGTCTCCGAATTACAACCACATACAAATAGATTATTATTTTTGGTCGTAAATGCCGTGTCTTTTGTCCTTTTTCTGTAGTAAACAAAATAAATGTCTTAGCTATAACATGCCCCTGTTGTTCTTGGGCTGGGCTATGTGGGGGCGCACCAGCTATTAGAACTTCTAGGTCCACGGTAATGTTCATTTCGGTTCATATTCATCGGTACAGAAACGTAAAATTTAGCATATATTACCCAATTTATTTCTTCATATCAATAGACAAGGTATATACTGACTTTTCAAAAGTCTTTGGTTAGGCAAATCTCTTAATAATATTAACAGACAAACTAAACTATACAGGGTGATTCAGAACTTATCCAAAAAAAAATTCTGGATGTACAGGGGACCCTTAAAAATACAATTTTGTAAAGAAAAAATCAAAAAGGTCAGTTCGAAATTGATTTAAAAATACACTTCTGCACGGCACTGGAAACAGGTCCACTGTAAAACCTGACCTCGCACAATGCGACCGGTATGGCGGCGTGATAAAAACGGACAAAAACTTTCGCAAGGAAAGAAATATGTAAATAGAATTTTATCGCACCTATTTTATATCGGCAAATTCAAATGCTTTTGCCTTTATTAATTATTAATAAAATTAATTTGTGTTTTTAAATAATAAAATCATTTGACATACTCGATGCTGCAACAGCAACTGTTCAAAATGTTATCCACTCACGTGTAAGCACATTTGGGTCCGTCTTACTCACTTTCTACGAACTAACACAAATGATGTCTTGCTTCACCATAACACAAATGCTTCACCATAATACAAATATTGTCTTGCTTCACCATAAAGTAAAACGATATCCATTAACTCTGAGTTGCTATACACGCAAACCATTTTTGATACTAACTACTAAAAAACTGTTGTAAACATTACAGATAACAGGTAAAAACTACCGCAACGACGGATTTCAGTATTAGGAGTCACATGGCTCTCCACGCGTATTGCGAATGACGTTAGAGACTACAGTTGTCCAGCTATGTAGTGGTTTAATGTGCTATAACTTCAATAATTTTTTTCTCAGAAACTATAAGGATTTTACAAAAAAATTTTTTACAATATTGACTCCATGCCTCATGCCGCATCTATTCCCAAATTTTTTTTTTAGATAAGTTGTGAATCACCTTGTATAGGATTAAAAGCACCTATTTGTTTATGTCATACCTATATAATAATTGGTCACAGTATGTTTATTATAGTGGTTTCAAATCTAAGGTATTAAATACAGGCACCATTTGCCCAAAATATTTCACACCGAGATTTATTTACACTTCAAATATCCTCTCCAAATGTATAAACACCCTATATGTTTAGCACTTCTAATTTAATTAAAAAGCCTTTGAACAATTAACCCGAAAATTGACTGAAGAGAAAATTGCAACTCACTAATAAAATAAATTCCCCGACTGCCGTTAAAGTGTTATGTTGAAATTTTAATGAATAAAGTACCTAGGTGGTGAAATTAACAATGTTCAGGTTGAACAGTCCCGTCTATGAATGGTTTGGTCATTAATTATTTTAACTGGATGTTGTTATCACTCGCACCAAATTGGATTTTGCTACTCTAAAAATTATCGTGGGCATTTGGTTGGTTACATGTTCCGTAGCAATTATCCTCCTCTAATAGTCTGCATAAATACGCAAATATACAGTGTTTAACAATGGAAGTATCTCATCGTAAAGCAATTATTCAGTCTGATTTATGTTCTTGTACAACACGGATTATATTTATACAGCAAAAACTACAGGTCATGCCATAAATTTACTTTTAAATTATTATAAGGTTGCTGTTTATATTTATGTTTATGAAGTATATAGCCTTGTAAATTAGATAACATCTAATTCCAATTTAATAGCTAGCTAGCAGCATTCCAAACATCTTAAAATAAGAAAATTTTACACGATAGTTACTTGCAATGTATTATAGACAGATAAAAATACCATTTTTTTTTTGTATGTGGATGAAGAAATTGTTCATCAGCCATATTAACTGCGTCTGGGCAAAATTTATAAACGGAAAAAAATCATCTCGTGTTGCAGAAGATGTTTTTCAACTCATTATACAGGGTGGTCCAGTTTCAGATGCGGAAACTTCATGGACCGATAGAGATTTAAAAAAATGAGTTTGCTAATAAACTATATTCGAGAAATGCTTCGTTAAGGAAATACAAGGTGTTCAAGATTGGTTTAAAAAAATCAGATCTACTAATTGTTGTCAAACGGCTAAAGATACCCGTATTCCAACGAAATTTTGTAGGCGTTAACTACCATCGAGGGAGCACGTTTTGCAAAGAAAAACATTATTTTTAGTTTTGCCAGTGGCGTTCGTACTAGCACGATACTGGATATTTTTAAAGGAAAAATTGGTATGCCACTGGTATTTCATAAAATAAAAATCAGTTTTGGATTATTCATTCAATTTGGAAGAAAAAAGCTCTCTTTCGATTGTTCTGTACGACTCAGCGCTTTCAAAGTGATCTGTGAAAAACAATTGAGCAATAACTTTGTCAACATTTAGTTAGCTCTCTAGTAATTTGATTTGTAATTATTGTTTTTGTTATCGTTATTATTAGTGTTATCCTGAAAAAAGCTTTTCTGTAACGAGGAATAAAGAAGCGACAGTCCGTGAATATCGAATACCTTATTCAAATAGTATTGCTCGTGTCTTCACTGGAACACATAAAAAGTTTCGTAACTTTGGTCTGCGTGTTAATAATGAACATAACAGAAACCATCGCAATAACAATCGAAATTGTATCCTGTACTTTTGATGACAATCCGAGGCTCGCAGGGCAGCTCAACAACTACAAATATCTAAATCTCAATTTTTTTTTTTGCACAAAATTCTATAACGAATTATCATAATATCAATGTTTGGGCACACGAAAATCCTCCAGAAATTCGGCCACGGTTTTATTGGGAGTTTTTGATAATAATGTTTGTGGTCCACATTTTCTACTTCCAACGATAAACTCAGAACTATTTCTTGAATTTCTTGCAAATAACTTGCAGGACTATATGAAGAATATACCCGTTAACTTAAGACATGAAAGTTGCATACAAATAGGTCTTTCCCATACAGTTCGTTACAAGAGATGGAATCAACAATTTCCACAACGATCCTGTGTGAGCAATCTAAAACCCTCATGCTATTCGAGAAACTTATTTCCAGGGAAGATTCTCCGTAAACGTTTGGGCTGGAATAATTAATAATAAGTTATAGGGCTTTCTTGAAGAACGATCTACCTCTACTACTTAAAGACATTCCTCTTCAAATCAGAAGGATGATGTTCTTTTTACACGACAGTGTTCCGTTCCATTATGGAAGAGGTGTAACTAATTTCCTCAGTGAAAACTATCCAAATCGATAAATTGATTGGATGGTCATTGTGGTTCCATTACTTGGCCACCGCGATCTCCCGATCTCAACCCGTTGGACTTTTTCATGTAGAGACATGAGAAGACACTTACTTATTCAATGGCATAGAGTAATTGCAGCGACCAACTCATTGAGAAGATTCATACAGTGTTTGACGAGGTGAGAAACGATATGTACTGCAAAGGCGGTGCTGACATTGAGCAGCTTTAATAATTACACTGCTATTACGCTTTTATTAAAATAAACTGCAATTTTTTCTAAGCTCTCTAGTCACAACAATCTAATTTACTCTTTAGCAACTTCCCATACGATCTTACAACTTCAAACTCAGATGTTTCAAGAACCATTGAGAAT